TTTGCTGGGCATTTTGTACATTTTATATGTGCCACTAAGTTCAAACCCCCCAAATTATGCTCAGCTAAGTCTTCTGCGTAAAACAATATGCCCAATGTATGACCTAGACACTATTTTGTGAAGTTACACTGCTGTAAAAGAGACGTGACAAGTTAAGGTTTTTAAGTGTGAATTTTCATGGAGGGTTTTGATGCGTCCGTGTCCCACTTTGGAGCACTTGAGCAGGCTACATATTACAACTACACCATAAAGGCATACCATTTCTTAAAGAACACATCTCAGGGTATTTCAAAAGGCATATTTTGAACCTTAGCGTGAGATAGTTTTTCTGCTAGCTTGTACCAAGTGTAGTGGTAATAAGCGTTTTTTTGCCTTTTTGACACACAAAGTGAGTTTGCACAGTATATTTTTCAAATCGTATGTGTGCTACGACTGTATAATACTTCATATGTTGCTCAGCTATGTCGGCTGAGTACAGCAATACCCCCGTATGTACCTTTGCCTGGTATATGTTGACATTGAAGGGGCACATTTGAGACACAGCCATTCCAGTTTTTCTCAGATTTTGAATTTTACGCTGTGACCATGTCCCATTTTAGAGTATTTTACAAGGCTATATAATCCAATTACACCATAAAGGCATACCATTTCTTAAAGAAGACATCCCAGGGTAATTCAAAAGGCATATTTTTAACCTTAGCGTGGGATCATTTTTCAACTAGCTTGTACCAAGTGTAGTGGTAATGAGCATTTTTTAATGTATTTTTTTACTTTGTAAAACTTTTTTGACTTTGTAAAACCCGTTTTTAAACTTTTTTTTTTTTACTTATTAAATGTTTTACACTTTCTCCCACCCACTCCAGCTAGCAAAATATATATAATTATAAAATATTTAAATTCATTAATTAAATAAATTGAACCCCTGAGGGTTAAAAAAAAAAAATAATAATAATCCTCAGGGGTTAAAAGAAATTAGATTACAGTATAATACTGTGATCTGTATTTTGATCCTGTAGGCAGTGATCAGCTGGCAGGGAAGGGGTTAATTTTTATTTAGACAGGGTAAAGGGGGTGGTATTTTTTTTTTACTTAAACGTTACTAAAACATTTTTTTAAAACTTTTTTTACCTTTTTAAAGCTTATTTTAAAACTTTTTTAACGTTATCCCCTAGTTAGCCTAACACCAAATTCCCCAATTCCCCACTAACATCCACCCATCCCAGATAGTTAAATATATAATTTTAAAATATTTAAATTAATTAAGAAAATAAATGTAACCCCTGAGGGTTAAAAAAATAAATAATTAACCCTCATGGGTAAAAAAAACAATAAATCAGATGACATTAAAATGTATACCCTGCCAATTGATCACTGTAGTCAGTGCTCAATTGGCAGGGAAGGGGTTAATTTTATTAAAGCAGGGGAAAGGGGGGGTGGGATTTAACTTTATTTTATTTATTTTTTACAGAGGGAGAAGAGGATCAGCTCTGATCCGTCTCCCTGCACTCCACACAGAACCCGGAAGTGCAGGGAGGCAGAAGGTAAGTACACTGAGCACATATGCTCGCTCTGACAGCCTGTCAGAGCGAGCACCTGTGCTGGGGCAGCCCGATACAGAGGCAGACCGGAGCACCGTTAACTCTGCGATTGCAGCGATCGCCGCGATTGCCGCAATCTGGGGTTAACTTTAGTTAATGACGGAAATTTTCCGTCAACGGTCCTTAACTGAAGGACAAGGTTGACGGAAAATTTCCGTCTGCGGTCGGGAAGGGGTTAAGTGGATAACGGCAACAAGCTTTATTTAATCCATAATAACAATTTTAATGAATTAGCCCTGCCAGCTGCTGAGTGATTATCCATCAGACAGATCTTTTCCAACCTTTTTCCAAGAGTCTCAAACACTTGCCATCAGCCTTATGCCGATTGTAGTCTTTCCAAACCGACTCAGTGTCTCATTCCATACTGCGACTGCGCTGTCAAGGAATCCCAAAAGCCATGGCAAAAATAAAGACACACCACAAAACAAGCCTCCCATAACATAGGTGGGTGGGTTGAAAAAATCAGTCAGGGTCCTTCAACTGCTCCTGCTGACTGGTAAGTCCCCACCCTTCCATATAGCCAAATAAGCTTACAACCTACAATATTGTAGCAACATAATTCCAGCCCACGATTCATGGGCAGTAGTTATGTTCCCCCTTCCTAGCTTGTAAAGAGGAAAACTAACTCAACCTGATAGATCTGGATTAAGACTGTCCATGGCCCCAGACTGGATGCCACATTGGGGCTTCTACCTAAAACACTGAGGTGCTGTATGTGAGTTGTGTGGGGATCTTTTTATGTTGCTGCTGGCTCAGTCAAGGTGCTCTATCTCTGTAAGAGCCGAAATTCCAGGCACAACAAGCGGCCCACCAGGCCCCTGTCTAAGCTGGGCCCTAGATGACCCCTTAGACTACTTATTAGGTAATATGTCTCTGCCATCTAATGCATATCTTAAAAGAGTGAGCAAGGGAAACTAATTTCAAATGTCTAAGTTGAATTAGAGTAACTATATTCCATTGCACTATTTTGATCCTCTGTGAAGGCCATGATGACTGTGTCCACAATCGCTATAAAACATGCAAGGTTAAAATGTAGTTCTATACTTGCTATACTCTCTATGGATACATGCATAGCATTAGCTGATTTTTATCAAACATTCCAATCAGTTTGCTACAGTTGACAAAAGCAATGCTACCTGCCTTTCGATCTATATAACCAGTACATACTCCCTCTAACACAAAGTACAATGCATAGAATTGTAATATGACTTTTTATAATTGATTGGGTTATATTCATGGTTTTATACAGTTAAGATCAATTGGAACACCAAAGGATTGTCATTGCTCTTGTGTCCCTTGCTACTTTTATTCTAACCTATTTTGTTTTTCTTTTGGGGGGTATGGGTGACAAGAATATTTTCAGTTTCAATGTGTCACCTTGGAAATTGCAACAAAGGAAGTGTTAATAATTGCTTAATATTAGACTGGATTTTATTATTATTGTACATTTTATCACCTCTCTTTATTGCTGCCATTTATATTGCAATATAAAACCCATGGGAAACTGGTCATGGGTAATCCAGATTCATGCACTAGGGTCATGATGTCAAACAATCCTAGATAAGTCCTGTGGTGAATGACTGAGATCTTCTTCCACCATTTCAGTAATTTAAATCATATATTTTTTTTACTTGTAAAGGGGATTTGTAAAGTGTGAGCGACGATACTGATGTAAACCATTCAAACCAATACAGTTTGCCTTTTTCACAAAAATATTTAATCCACAATAAACACAGGCAGTTCAATCCTAGGTGCGTATATCATACAACACTAACCTTGCAAGCAAGCAAGCAGATGTCACTCTGTGATAACTAGAGATAGACTTTACTGGGGGCACCTGTGCAATATTATTAGCACTAGGAATGCAGAGACTGCTGATGAAGGTTCTGGTGGGGGCCCAAACAAAGAAAAAAAATCTATATGTTATTTTACAGAGTGTTGTCAGAGTTAGAGTGATCTGGCATGTTATTACACAAACTTATCATAATTTGCACAGGTGTTTCTTGTACACCTAGTGCTAATGGAAATATCCATTGGTACTAATTCTGGAATTAAGAAAAATCATTGGAAGAAAAAGAAGGGAATGGGTCTAAGGTCAAAAATAGTTCACTGGAATAGGGGGGTAACCCCAAATAGAAACTGAAAATGAATAAACAAGAAATAGTGTACCTGAGGGGAGGAGGGGAAAAACTGTGAAAAGATAAACTCTAGTAAGAGTGTCAACTTATCACCATATATAGGGAAATAAAATAAAAAATAAATACATTTTGTTAGTATATTACAAACGTGCTTCTATACAACATAATTAAAACAAGCTTTTGTTTTTATTTCAGTTTAATTTGTTTATTTTCACCTTATTCTTTATTAAGCGATCATGCTGATTACTTTAGGCTTCTGTACTTACTCACCTCAGTGGGACTAGATATAGTTAACCTCAAAGGCACGGGAGGGATGTGTTAGAACTTTGAGCCATTAGTTCCCTTCATCATCATGGAGTTTAGACATTCACTCGCTATTAACGCAGGCATCACTGATAACTGATCTTTTTTCAATGAATCTTTCCAGCATTGTCTTTAGCTAACTGTGTAAGGGTTTCGAGTGAGACTACGAGACCTTTTACCTTTTGACCTAGTGTCTCATTTCTAGTGTGGCAATCTTGTACCTCAATTGTGTTCACAGCTTACTCAGGCAATTTTGATCAAATATTAAATTAATGAACTTCTTTACCTTTTTACTTAAGAGTTGGTGGTCTAGACATTGGGTGACATCTTAGCACCAAGTTAATCTACAGTGATTACTCTAATATTCTACATCTACTAATTCAGTTAGCATATGGACCTCGACTATTTCTTCTATCTGATAGATAGAGAGCCCACCAGAGTATAATTACTGTTTCATATACACTGCAAACTAACCATTTAGGTTACCTCTCCCTCCTGTTATTTACTGTCAGTAATTCTCTGTGCCGTCTCTTACGGTTATGTACCCTGACACAGACATGTGCAGGGTTATATCTATACCAGTATTAGTTTCTGTTTACATGATTCTCTAACAGGTTGCATTGCTATCCCACAGCAACCAGTAGTATCATATTTTACATCAGCAACTACGATCAGAATACCTTTCCTCAGATTTTCTGTAGAGACAGGTCTCTATGACTTTTTATTTTCTGTTTTGCAGATCAGACCACTCACCTGTTGTACAGAAGCACGTTTGTAATATACTAATAAAATTTATTTATCTTTTATTTTATTTGCCAATACATAGTATTAAGCTGACACTCTTATTAGAATTTATCTATTCACGGGGCGTGTCCTGATACTCCATGTGAGCGGTCGCATAGCTGTCGAGCTCCCGGCGCCTACACAGCAAAGACCCAGCAACCATACTACATAACCCTCGATGGGAAATAAAAAGAAATCCACAGCCTCTCAGGACTACATGGAGCAAGGCTCCAACAAGAAATTGGGAGACCTGGATAGGTACTTCCGAGAAAAAGTGAAGCACCTGACGCAAGACGAAGATAGCAACATGGCGGCGGCCCCACAAGAATCTGACTCACCTCCTCCGAGCCCGGCTTCTTCGGAACAATCTACTGTCATCAAAGACTCAGAAATTAGGGAACTGCTACAAAACTTACCCTCCAAAACAGACCTGGCATCTATGCTGGCAAAATTGGAAGAATCAATGCAAGATAAGATATCCGACATTGCCAGAGACGTGCACCACATGGGGCAAAGAGTGGGAGAGCTGGAGGACAAAAACTTACGCACAATTGAAGCAATTAAAGCTCTGGAAACAAGACAAGGTGCAATAGAATTAAAATACATTATTATGGCCAGAATCATTGAAGAATTAGATAATAGGAGCCGGAGGAATAACCTACGCCTGAGAGGCCTACCGGAAACACAGGAAGCCTCAGAGGACCTACTGGCTAAATTACAGGCATTATTCAACAACATCCTCCAGAGACCCACGGACACTCCTGTCCTGCTAGACCGGGCCCACAAGGCACTGAGACCGAAAGGCCTCCCACAAGATAAACCAAGAGACGTCATATGTAGAGCCCATTATTTTACATTAAAGGAAGAGATTCTCAAACTATCAAAGAACTCACCAGCAATGACACAGGGAAATATTCAACTGTAACTAATTTCGGATCTGGCATGGTCTACCTTGCAAGGCCGAAGACTATTACGCCCCATCACGGGAATGCTGCAGGATCGCAATATAAAATATCGGTGGGGATACCCGTTCTCACTGACGGTGATCAAGGACAGTAACACTATCACTTTAAGGTCAGCAGCGGATGCTCCGGAGTTCCTTGAAAACTCGGACTACCTCAAGTGAATGTACCGGACTGGTATGCAGAGACCTCCTATCAAGCAACTCTACCGCAACCTCAGAGGCAGCGGAGACGATCCCCTACCAGATCCAAGAGGCCAACGTCCAGACAGTCTTCACAACAACCAAACACAAGACCAAGAAGAGAACTTTCAGTGTCATAATCGGTGCCACAATGATCCTGGTCTAATTCTTAAAACATGCAGCAACCAGATTTAATCTGCAAACTGGACGTTTGTGACAAAATGGGTATCGTATAAATAGGGAAAGGGACAAATGGAAGGGAACTAATACGTAGTAGATCAATGGCCTCAGGGCACCCCAAAAAAACACCCTTATTCCCCTACTGGCAATCCTATGTTTAGGGACCATTGGACCAAATTCTAGAACATCCAGGCATGAATGCCCAACACCACTGGACAGTCATTCAGGAGTTAGGGGACCACAAGTCTGTGATGTAATGGTAAAGTGATTTGCTTGCAAGGGGGGAGAAGTGGAGGGATATAGCTAGAACATGTTATGATAACTGTTGATTTGGTATGATTACGTTAATATGCAATGTATATGATTTATTTATAGAAGAATAGTAAACCCATTCCTGTTGGGGGTAGTGATACGATAGTAATCGGTACATCAAGACATACAACTCCCACGATTATCGAATCTAATCACTTCCCATTTGTTAGATGCTTATATCAACAAACTACATGTAAAGTAAGCGGGTCGTATACCCACTTAATCTACAAACAAAGAATCTGGGCGCCGGGAGCGCTGAAGCGCTATAAGATAACCACCCACACATTTAAAAAAAAGTGCATTTAAACATAGGAAAACGTACTCAAATTTGACCATAAGAGATCTTTAGAAGTAACTCACCCCCCCACCCAACATAGTTGGGACAGAGCAGTGTAATAATCTTATCAATATATAATACTGAGTTTATTCTTCCCAACTCCTACCAGCCGACTGAGTAGGAGGAAAAAGGGATACACACCGACTCTTTAGCGACGCAATCGCGTCTAAACGTATTGCTACCAGTAGCAATCTTTTAAGTTTTGTTATTGTAAATAGTTTCTATCTAATTTTGGTTTACTTTGTTCAAGACGAGAAAGTGAGATATTCCTTAAGGAAACTAAGCTGACTGAACTTAATCGGGTTTAAAGTTCTCTATCTAATAAGATATAACATGGACAAACAACTACAGATAATCTCATGCAATGTTAAAGGTCTCAGTTCACCAGAAAAAAGACACATAGCAATGAGAGAATTTCACAAAATGAAGGCAGACATTGTATTGTTACAAGAAACCCATTTTAGAGGCAGAGAAGCTCCAAAATTACGACATAAACAATTCCCATTATGTTTCTATAACAAGTTTAAGCTTAAAAAATCTAGAGGAGTGGCCGTTCTAATAGGGGCTCAGGTCCCTTTTATTTTATCGAAGCAGATAGCTGACGACTCGGGGCTATACATTATTTTAATAGGACACATAGGAAGTACTCCGATCACGCTAGTTAATATATATTTACCAAACATTCTCCAATGTGCCGCCTTGAGACGTATAGTTACAAAGGTCAGGAAGTCCGCAGAGGGTATTATCATCATAGAGACCTCCTAATATGTCCTTGGATGCCCAATGGGACAGTACATCACAATGCCCAGCACATCTGGCCTCAGCAAGATCTCAGATGCATAAAATACTCCATGACAATCAACTCATAGACTGTTGGAGGGTACTGAACCCCAAAACGAAAGACTACACATTCTATTCTAACCCGAATCATACATACACGCGCATTGATTTATTCCTTACCACACATAAAGATCTGACTCTCATACGCAAAGCCACTATTGGCAATATAACATGGTCGGACCATGCCCCTATATACCTATGGGTATCCATACCAACAGTACCAATGACGAAATACCAATGGAAACTCAATCCCCACTTATTACTGAATACACCGACACGAAAAGCAATAGAAACATCCATCCATCAATACTTTGATACCAATAAAACCACCAGACACTTCATTCACTATACAGTGGGAAGCACATAAATGTGTCATCCGAGGGGAATAAATTAAATGGGGATCCCACCTGAAAAGGGAGAAATCCAAAACTATAGAGAAACTAGTCCAAGATATTAAAACACTAGAAGAATCCCACAAAACATCTCTCTAAGAATCAGATTTTGCTAAGTTAATGTCCCCAAGATCAGAACTGAAAATACTGCTAAACAACACAACTAAAAAAGCTATGCTGTGGTCCAAACAGAGATATTACACACGGAGATAGATGCGGAAGACTTTTAGTTTCTGCGCTCAAAGAGCAACAACAACGCACTTACATACCCAAAATGAGAAGGGCAGACTGCACTTTGGCACATACAGCTGAGGATATTGACAAAGAATTTCGTAAATTCTATGACTCTCTGTATAACCTACATCATGCCCCACCAGACAAAGAGGTTATGAGACAATATTTAGAGAAACACACACTGAGAAAGCTTTCAAATATAGATCCCCAATCGTTAGATACACCCTTCACGATAGAGGAACTACAACAAGCAATACGCAAAACCCCACACAATAAGGCTCCGGGCCCAGATGGGTTTTCGGCAACGTATTATCAAACTTTCATTGACGAACTGTCACCCCACCTTCTAGAGACTCTGAATTCTCTGACCCAAAACACATCATTACCCCAATCTAGCCTGGAAGCTACTATAACTGTTTTACATAAAGCAGGGAAAAACCCAGAGATTTGTGGCAGCTATAGGCCTATATCCCTGATAAATGTTGACATCAAGATCTTAACTAAAATGATGGCAATGAGATTGAGACCACTCTTGAGCGAATTGATTCACCCAGATCAGGCTGGGATTGTGCCGAATAGGGAAGCCAGGGACAACACTACCAAAGTCTTAGATTTAGTCCAGTGTGTGGGGGGGAGAGAGGTACCATCCATCCTGTTAGCAATTGACGCAGTAAAAGCGTTTGACAGGGTGGACTGGCCTTTTCTAAAGATGACCCTTGATGTCCTGGGCTTCGGACCCAACTGGCAGACATTAATTGGTACAATTTACTCCAAGCCCACAGCCCGGATAAAAGTGAATGGTATACTTTCGGACTCCCTGGCCATAACAAACGGAACCAGACAGAGGTGCCCTCTGTCACCCTTATTGTTTATATTAGCCCTGGAACCTCTAATCCAGGCGGTTTGGATGGATGTGAGTATAGAGGGCATCACGATAGGTTCACATTCATACAAAGTATCGGCATTCGCTGATGATCTCATTTTCACTATTACAAACCCCCTCAATTCATTAAGACCACTAATGGAGACCTTAACAAAATACAGCTCCTACTCTAATTTTAAAATTAATACCACAAAATGTGAAGCTCTCAATATCAACGTGAGGGAGGAGATGAGGGAGAAATTGAGCAGAGATTACACCTTCCATTGGAACACAAAATCTATTAAATACCTAGGAATTAATATTACTAACAATGTAGCAGACACAAACCGAGCAAACTTCCCTCAGATCCTAAATGCTATCCAAATTGATCTTCATAAATGGGACAAGCCACACCTTTGATGGTTAGGAAGGGTTAACGTCATCTCCATGAATATTCTCCCTCGCATCCTTTATCTAATGAACACAATCCCTATAAGGATCCCACATACATTTTTCAAAACGATCAAAACACTCTTTACAAGATATATTTGGTCGGGCAGAAGGCCACGTATTGCTTACCATATACTTACGCGACCACACAGAGGAGGAGTAGGACTACCAGACATTTTACATTACTACTATGCTATACAAATGGCCAGAATAATAGAATGGTCATGTCAACCGTCATCCAAACAATGGATCACTATAGAACAAACAATATCACATACCCCCTTGGAAGCCTTACCGTGGACATACACGGGTACCATGGACTACCCCACCCCTAACCATCACTCTATCGATGCCACTATACATGTGTATATCTAGCTATACAAGATACCCTATTTCTCATAACTTGATGTTTCCATTAGGAATCAAGGGAATCCCCCTCCCAATAACCACCTGGATGGAAAACTCACCATATACTCTATTGGATAGTGTATGGAACACCCAAGGACCTTTAACATTAGCAGATATAACAAAAACAACCACACATACTTTAACCCAAAGATTACTCTTTTTTCAAATGACTCATTTCCTAAAAACCCTTCACATACCCGATGGGCCTCTCAGAGACATTACCAAATTTGAACAACTATGTATGAGCACGACACCAGTGACAAAGGCGATATCCAAATGCCTGGAAATACTACAGACACATATACACCAGGGTCTATCGTGGTTTACACGCAAATGGGGAAAATACCTAAACTGTTCATTAAACGACAGAGAATGGGAACAGATTTTCAACAGGACTTTTTAGGCCCACCCCAATGTCTCCATACAAGAGACTAGCTACAAAATCCTATCGACATGGTGCAAAACACCACAAGACATACGCAGGTTCCACCAAGACGAGCCCTCGCTATGTTGGCGATGCGGTGAAGAAAATGGAAACATAGGCCACATGTGGTGGCACTGTAGTCATTTAAGACCATTCTGGGAAATGTTTAAACTCCAAACTAAGGGAGGTATCTGGAAAGGCAATTCCATGTGAAATAGATACTATGGTGCTGCTCAACAAAGACGTCCCTATGCGGAAATTTAAATATTCCCTTTTATTGTTTATGCTAGCAGCTGCTAAAATAGTGATAGTGGCCAACTGGAAAAATACAAAACAAATAGG